TGTTAAGCTTGCTACCATCATCATACGTAGGCGATTACATCATCTATAATATTCCGTTGAGGAATGCCGTTGATATTATCCATTTGAATGATGATTTTCCCACGAACGTCTGCATCTGCTAACAAGACACGAAGGGTAGGGGGTTTGGCAGTGTGAGCAAAGATCTCTTTGAAGTCCTGCTTCTCTTTTGCATAAACTCCTTAGCCACCAGCCTACTCTTGTAGATGGTGATGAGTCCCTTGTCATCGCTCTTGATCCTTAGCACCCACTTGCACGGTACAGCCTTCTTCCCCTCAGGCAGCACCACCAGTTCCCAGTCCCATTCTTTTATAGGCTCTGGTACTCACCATCCCTAGAATCCAGCCACTTGTCCCCCCTATCTGGTCCAGCTAATGCCTCCTCCATGCTAGCTGGTTCCTCTGGTATAGGGGCAAGAAAACAGTACGCAGGTTCATTCTCCTCATCCGGGTCATAGCCTTGAGGCAAAATCAGCAACGCCTCTTCGTTCCCCAGCTGCTGCTCTGCTACATCAGCTCCTGCAGTCAGCTTCATAGTGGCCATACGGGTACGTCCTGGCTTAGAGACAGGTGTCTCCCACCCCTTCATAATTACACCCTTCGGCTTCCTCCTTTGTGCTAGTGTAGGAGCCTTAGCTTTGCCCTGCTGCTGCTCTCCACCCTCGGGTCCAGCAGCTCTACTATTGATACCACTAGCCTCTATACCACCTCCTCAACCAGTAGGTGCCTCCTGTACCCTCTCTCCATAACCACCCTCTGCAGCTGCCTCCTCTCCCTCCTCCCACACACTAGGAGTCAGGGCCAACTACATGGTGATATGCTCCATCTCTTGTGATAACTTGGCCTCTGGCTGTTTCTTCTAGCCCCCATACATCAGGCGCTCAACAAACTTAAAATCCTTGATGTGAAACAACATACCCTTGCGTGGTTCCCACAACAGCCATCCCTTGCTCTCAGCAGCCAGCTCCCACACTGCGCGGATACCTGCAAATGCTTCAAGCAAAATTTGCGAAACCAAACAAACACTCGAACACACCATTCACACGCAAATGCATTCGGACACGCATATTCATACAAACAGATGGCAGGATGTCGTGCAATGTGAATTTACAACCAATGGCATGGTGGGGGGCAGGCTAGAGAGGGGTCTGCATCTCGGGGGAGTGCAACGCTGTTGGAGGGGTTGTGTTAAAGTGTCGGCCAGGTCTGGGGAGACAGATTGGGCAACGGCACACCGACGCTTGGGGCATGTGGCAATGCCCTTGTTGAAGCAGCTGGAGAAGGATGGAGCAGTCAAAAGTTTGAAGCTGAACGGACAGCCACCCGATGATAAGTGTGCAATTTGTTTGCTATCCAAATTCACCCGTTTTCCCTTCCATAGCATGGCTGGCAGGAGTATGAAGCCGTTGGTGGGGCCGTTGCCAGTACAAGGGCACAAGGAGGAGCGGTACTTTCTGACCATAATTGATGATTGGAGCAGGCTGATGTGGCCATATCCGCTGAAGCAGAAGGACCATGCCGCCTCTACAATACAAGAAGATTGGCTGCCATTCGTGGAGAAGCAAGCGGAGTGTGTAGTGAAGCGGGTTAGGACAGACCAAGGTGGTGAGCTCCTTGGAGCTGAGATGACGGCCTGGCTCAAAAAGCAGGGCATCCAGAAAGAGCTGACCACGGCTTACACCCCACAGTCCAACGGTGTATCAGAATGGGCGATCCAAACCATTCTAGAGATAGCTAGGGCGCTGCTCATAGAATCTGGGGTGGGCAATTCCATGTGGTCCCATGGTGTCCGTCATGCTACCGTGGCTAGGAACAGGGTGCTTACCAACGTTGGGGATGACTCCTGGGTGCCATTGGAGAGGTGGCTTGGGAGGAAGCCGCCGGTGGACATGCTGAGGGTGTTCGGCTGCATGGCAGTTGCCCACGCCCCAAAAGTCTACCGAAGTTAGTTGGGGGCAAGTGCAATCTGGTGTGTGCATTTGGAGCCGGCTACTGAGAGCAAGGGATGGCTGCTGTGGGAACCATCCAAGGGTGTCATGTTTGATAGCAGGGATGTGAAATTCATTGAGGGCATGATGTATGGGAGCTGGGAGAAACAGCCAAAGGCCAAGGTGTCCCAGCAGATGGAGGAGATCACCATGCAGCTAGACCTGACTCCTAGTGTGTGGGAGGAGGGCGAGGAGGCAGCTGCGGAGGGTGGTGATAGAGGAGGTATAGGAAGCACCTGCTTGTGGAGGAGATGGTGTGGAGACTAGCGGTAGCACTAGTGGAGCTGCTGGATCTAAGGGAGGAGAGCAGCAGCAGGGCAAAGCTAAGGCTCCTACACTACCATCAAGAAGGAAGCCGAAGGGTGTTATACTGAAGGGATGGAAACACCCTTCTCCAAGCCGGGACGTACCCGTATGGCAACAAGGAAGCTGACTGCAGGATCAGGCGTAGTGGAGCAGCATCTTGGGACCGAGGAGGCAATGCTGATCCTACCTCATGGCCAAGACCCAGATGAGAAGGATGAACCTGCCTACTGTTTTCTTGCCCCAGCACCAGAGGACCAGCTAGCATGGAGGAGGCACTAGCTGGACCAGATAGGGACAAGTTGCTGGCTTCAAAGGATGCTGAGTACTAGAGCCTGCTAGAGAATGGGACATGGGAGCTGGTGGTGCTGCCTGAGGGGAAGAAAGCGATACAATGCAAGTGGGTGCTGAGGATCAAGACCGATGACAAGGGACAGGTCACCATCTACAAGAGCAGGCTGGTGGCTAAGGGGTTTATGCAAAAGGAAAAGCAGGACTTCAATGAGATATTTTCTCCCACTGCCAAACCCCCTACACATCGTGTCTTGTTGGCAGATGCAGTCATTAGTGGGAAATTCATCATTCAGATATATGCATTAACCATATTCCTCAACGGGATTTTTAGAAGAGGAGGTGTTTATGAAACAGTCACCTGGCTATGAGGATGGTACGGGCAGGGTGTGCAAGCTGAAAAGGTCAATCTACGACTTGAAGCAGGCGCCACGCTGCTGGTACCAGAAGTTGGCAGCTGTTTTAGAGGAGATGGGGTTCAGGCTGAGTAGTTGTTATGAGAGCCTCTTTCTCAAGGGGAAGGGGGAGAATCTGGTGATGTTTCAGGTCTACGTGGACGATATTCCTCTCTTTAGCTGCAGCATGAAGGAGATCCAGAATGTGCAGCAGCAGTTGATGGAGAACTTCAAGTGCAAGACCCTTGGGTTGGTAAAGTAATACCTCGGGATGCACGTGGAGAGGGATCCAGATCACAGGTGGTTGAAGCTGCACCAGGAGATGTTTATCAAGGAGCTGGGGGAGAAGTCTGGGATTGAGAATGAGCGCAAGGTTGCAACTCCCCTGCCAGCAGAATTCAAGCTTGTGAAGGCTGCAGAGGATGAAGGGGTTGAAGCCGAGGAGGAGCAGCAATTTCAGTCGTTGGTGGGCAGCCTCTTGTACGCAGCAATTCACACGAGGCCTGACATCTCTTTCTCGGTTGGACAGCTAGCAAGGGTGGTGCAGAATCCATCTGAGGAGTGGGTGGATGCAGCTGAGCGTGTGGTGAATGTCAATAGGAGTCATTGTGAGGCCCTGTCCTCGCTTGGGCGGAGCTGACTTAGTGGTCGGGTGTGAGGGGAGCAGCCGACCTGCAGCAGTAGGCGAGCTGGTCGACATGGCTGGTCGTCATGCACGGCGGCCACTGCATGGACGTCGACTTGGCGACGCCAACTTGGGGCAGCCGATTTGGGTGGCTGGCTGACCAGATTGCTGGTCGACATGGTGTTGGTCGACCAGGAGTGCTGTCGACCTGGTGGTCTACCGAACATGGTAGTCGACGAAGGAAGGGCTGACGCTGACCTCGACAGGGGAGGCCCTGGACGCCGAGCTGAAGGGCGTCGAACAGGAGGGCGCCAAGGTGGAGGGCGCCGAACATTGGGGACGCCGAGCTTGTTCAGCCGGTGATCGAGCGAGCAGGTTGACCAGGCGTTGTTGCCCGGTCGACCGGGATACCCGAGCGACGTAGGCGGGTAGTTCTGCGAGGCGGACCTCGAAAGTGGTATCCTGAGGTCGACGTGGCTGGTGAACGTAGTCGCTGGTGTGGAGTCGACCTGGGCGTCTGCGCTGTGTACGTGACAAGGAAAAGTACACCAACCAGCTGCGCGCACCTACGAAGCAGGTGCTCCGTTGTCCTGCGGGTGCAACGCTGTGCAGCTGACTTGCTGCAGCGTTGGCACACCGTGGACTTGCAACATTGGCAAGCCACGACCTTGCTGTGCTGGAGCGCGTTCGACCAAGTCGTGCTGGCACGCGGTCGACTGTGCTGCGCTGGAGGTCGACCAGCAGCCTTGCTAGGTCTGTTGTAGTCTTGCATGCCATTGTTGTTGCTATCATTGTTGTGAACTTTTGCTAGTGGAACTCTTGCCAAATTCCCTGTGAACCAGCAAGTAGTGCAAGCACAAGCAAAGGACTAAGGAACGAATGAATGCAGAGATCACACGATCATCCGTGCCTAGCCTGTAGTCTAGCTCCCATTGTACTTGTTATCTCCGCAGTGAAGTACATGAACTCTCACCCAAGCATTGGAGTTCAATACTCCGCATTTGCACAGGTGAAGCAGAAAGGGGTTGAGGTGCTGAAGGAGAAGGGGGCAAGGCTTGGAGAAGGCAAGCTGTTTCTTACTTGCTTTATCGATGCTACATGGGCTCCTGAGAAAGAGGATTCCTCATCTGTGGGAGGATACATTTGCGTAGTTGGGGGAGGACCTGCTAGTTGGAGGTCAAAGAAGCAGATGGAGACGGCACTCTCTTCAGTGAAATCAGAGTACATGGCGATGATCCATGGGGTGAAAGAGGTGATTTGGCTGAGGAGGCTGTTAGAGGAGATTGGCCAGGAGCAGAAGGTTGCTATGCTGCTGTTTTGTGACATCAAGGAAGCTCTTGGGATGGCCAGGAACGCTGTGCTTCATGGGCTGAACAAGCACATGCGTATCAAGTGGCAATGGTTGCGTAACGAGGTGAAGAGGGGTACGGTAATTGCGCACTGCTTTGCAGGGTGGCGCGCACTGCTCTGCTGAGGCGTGCTCTGCATTGCAGGGTGGCGCACTGCTCTGCTGAGGCGTACTCTGCATTGCAGGGTGGCGCACTGCTCTGCTGAGGCGTGCTCTGCACTGCAGGGTGGCGCACTACTCTGTAGGGGCATGCACCGCTCTCCTGGGTGGCCTGCGCTGCTCTGCAGGAGCGCGAGCTACTCTGCACGGGGGCGAGCTGCTCTGCTGGGGGGTGCGAGCTGCTCTGCTGGGTGGTGCACACTGCTCTGCTGCGGCGCGCACTGCTCTGCAGGGGCACGCGCTGCTCTGCTGGGGGGTGCGAGCTGCACTGCTGGGTAGCGCGCGCTGCTCTACTGCGGCGCACGATGCTCTACTGGGGCGCGCGCTGCTCTGCAGGGTGGCATGCGCTGCTCGGCTGGGGCACGCCCTGCTCTGCTGGGTGTCGCGCGTGCGGAGATAACTACTACAACGGGACCTAGACTATGGGCTAGGCACAGGTGCTTGTGTGATCTCTGTGTTCGTTGCTCCATAGTCGTTTTCCTAGTGCTTGCTAGTTCACGGGGTAAGTTGGCAAGAGTTCCACTAGAGAAAGTTGACAACAATGGTACAATGAAGTTGGCATTGCAAGACTACATCAGAGCTAGCATTCCGGTCGGTCGACTGCCAGCGCAGCACGGTCGACCGCGTTCCAGCACGACTTGGTCGACCGCACTCCAGCAGCGCAAAGTCGACGGCGTGCCAACGTCGCAAGTTGACGGCGTGCCAGCGTTGCTCCCGCAGAACAGCATCGCACCAGCTTCGCAGGTGCTCGCAGATGATTGGCGTGCGGAGCCTTGTCACCTGCACAGCGCACACACCATGTCAACCTGGCGCTGGTGACTACATCTGATCAGCCACGTCGACCTCGGGATACCATCACCGAGGTCGGACTCGCCAACTTCGCCTGGGCAACCGTCGCACTTCTCCGCAGAACCTCGTCACCTAGGCAACCACGTCGACCAGCTGCTCCCGTATGTGCCCGTCGACCTCCCAAGTCGACGACCACCCCAAGTCGACCTCACCAGGTCGACCACGCCCCTGGTCGACCAGCTCCAGGTCGACGTCACTCCTGGTCGACCAGCTTCACGTCGACCAGCTCCACGTCGACCAGCACGTCTGGTCGACCAGCTCCATGTCGACCAGCGCAGTTGTCAGCTGACCGCCCAAGTCGGCTACCCGAAGTCGGCGTCACCAAGTTGACGCCCTGCTACTCGACGCCCAACTGCTCGGCGTCCTAAGTCGAGGTCGACGTTGGCCCCTCCTTCGTCGACCACCGGGTCAGGTCGACCACCAGCAGGTCGACCAGCAAGCCTGTCAGCCGACCACCCAAGTCGGCTGTCCCAAGTTGGCGTCACCAAGTTGACGCCCTCAGCATGTCGACTTCCCAGGCCGACCTCCCTGAAGTCGGCGCCCGCGCAGTGGCCCCCGTGCAGGTCGACCTCCTCGTCAACCAGCTCGCCCACTGCTGCAGGTCGGCGGCTCCCCTCACACCCGACCACGAAGTCGGCTCCGCCCAAGCGAGGACGAGGCCAAACCCAACTCCCGTTGACAGCCCGCTGCTCTGCTGGGGTGCGCACTGCTTTGCAGAGTGGCATGCACTGCTCTGTTGGGGCGCACGCTGCTCTGCAGGGGCGCGCACTACTCTGCAGGGGCACACACTGCTCTAGTGGGTGGTGCTCGCTACTTTGCTAGGGTGCGTGCTACTTTGGCAGGGGTGCGCGCAGGTCAGCACACGGAAGGGAGGTTGCGCTGCTTAATGAGGGTACGACTACGGAGCGACGAAGCGGTGCGGGCTAGGCGAGGCAACGGAGCAGGGGCGGGCTAGGCTAGGCTAGGAGCGTACCTACTCATGATACCATCTAAAAGACTGAACAGCGGAATAAATGCACTGGAGATGGAAGCAGTACAAGTAACAACCCTAAAAATGTGTTGTACTCCCTATATGCTACTCACTGTAGCCTAACAAGATGTTACCGTCATCGCCCGGATATAAGACATATATGTCTTATTTTATACACTAGAAAAACCGCTTGGGTTGACTTGTAATTTGGGTGGTTTAGGGTGTCTTATAATTCTTATAAATGGACAAAAAGCCGTATAGAAAATACCCCCTCGTTATAAGATTACCCCTAACCCCTTTACTGGCTTAACTCATACACACCAACAGGTGTCTTATAATCAGGAACACCCATTTATAAGATACACCCATTTTAAAGACACCCCCTATCTTCAACTCGACATTGTCCTATATTTGGGCGATGACGGTATGACATTTGACATCAGTTCAACACGTGATACTCTGCGATAAAATCTGCAACTTTTACAACATAAAGCCTTCGTTTCAGATTTTGCCACTCCCGCCAAATTCGATTCAGTAACACGAGTTCATCACCTGTAACCACTCCAAAATCATTGCCAAAATGAAGGGGAATCAACTGGTTCATCGCGCTATTATCGGTAGTTTATTCAAGATTGTATTCGACAAGGGGAGATCACATTAAAGCATCAGGAGTTCATATAGCAATAATCACGACTCTTCTTACAGCGATTACGACCACACCAGCGACAACAAATCGATATTATTCATTCGTCAACATCTTCATCAACAACGCCATCTTCATCACGAATATTAATTTTCGCGATTTCAAACTTCCAATACTAAATATTGTGTTGAGAATATTTGTGAGTTAGACATTCATGTAAGTTTGAAATAGTTGGTGTAGTATCGAGCTATGCAGTAAGTAGCAGTATCCGAGTGCTGGCGTTATGATTACTGCCGACTCAACGTAGTGACGTCAGCGTACCGTTTAGTCACGCGAACAGTCGCGTATCTTTACAGTGACGGGTAGATACATTACTGTTCTCACCACCTAATAGGTACTTTACCTAGGCTATATAAACTCGTGCAATGCCTTTTTTATTATCAACATTGGCTTTATTCACATTCAGTGTGCTCATTTTCAGCCTTTGACATTTTCATGTACCTTATACAACTCTAAGAGCTTAGTTCCAATGACTATGATCCTACAAACGCTTCCCCAAAGCGTTTCAACACAAGTACAATATGCTACTTCCAACACGCTAGAATATCCCGCGTCATTTATTGTATTGCCAATGTTGGAATCACCAATGGTTATTATGACATTCCCGAAGGCTTCCCTTAGCGCATCGCATTATAACAAGGCAGCGCTCCTATACCAGTATTGCGTTAAGCTCATACAGAGCACGCGGCAGCCTGAAAGTCACTCGAAGGTCAACAATCACAGAAAGCCAATCGATCCAATTGATGGCTCTCAAGAGCGCAGCAGCTGGACTAGCAAGAGCAGCAGCAGGAGCAGCAGCGGCAGCAGCCGAAACAGCGGCCGAAGCTCCACGTGTAAAAATCGTTTCCGTCAAATGGGGTTGATGTCTTCAGCTTTGATGTTAGAACAATTTTTGTTTGCATGCTTGCAATTGCCTCTGTCTGCGGGCGTCGTTGACTGTCGTGTGCAGGAGCTGAAGCTTGACAGTTGTCAAATGTGAAGGACCTCTCGGATTTGACGGAACGGTCTTCTCCTGGAAGAGGTAGGCCAGCACGTCCTCTAACGTAGCTTGAGCCATCGATGCTCATTGCTTGATGGCTTTCAAGAGCGTTTATGCGGACAAGGAGTTGTTCAACGATGGCGGCACTTACGGAGGTCACTCATGATGGCGCATTTGTCGTTGTTGGTGGTGGACCCAAAGAGTCTGCAATAGCTTTTACTTCAGGAGCCATAGTAATGCAGACTTGTAACAAGTATTGTGATGGATAAGAGTATAAAGAGTTGTTCTAAAAAGAACAGGAACTTGGTAGATATTGTATTCCACTCTAGCTCTCATACCATAGAAGTCTATCCAAGTTGAGAGAAGAGAATGAAGTCTTGTAATTACCTTGTTAATAATGGTTGAAAGAGAATAAGATGATTTTTAGATAGTAGTACAAGGATATAAATAGCAATCCTAGCTAGCCATGTAGTCAAAGGGGTACATTCCTTTATTAACTATATTGCATTGCTACAGTAACCTCGACTATTAATATACTCGACAGTTGCTAGATTGCATCATGTAACTTCCGAGTACGATTACTGGGTGGTCAATCGTGCGAATCGATCCAATCACTCCAAGTCCAGAAAACGATCCTACAATCATCCGTTGGATCGACAGGCCGACAGACCTCCCACCTGATTTCGAGCTGCCTTCGAGCACACCGGAGTCTCCTACCAGCTTCCCCGCAAGGCACAAGAACGATCTGTCACCATATTATGTTGATGTTGACTGCATCATCACTCCAAAGCTCACCAGCATCGCGCGATGAAGCTACAAAAACTGCAACACTTGATACCTTGATAGTTGCTGCAGACAACACATGGTTGGTTCAATGAAATATATCAATAACTCGAAGATAATGCGATGACCGTGCAAAATCACCGTCGCCAACAACAATCGACTCCAAGCCTACGACATCGGAGAAGTTTATCTGCAGTCAAGGGACACCAACTTCACCATCCATATTGGAGATGTGCTCGTCGTCGCCGATCTTCAGCTTAACCTTCTCTCGGCACCTCAACTGATGAAGTGTGGAGTTGACATACGAAGAACCTGGGATGATAAAACTTTTGAACTATTCTACAAGAACACTTACATCGAAAAGGCGATTGACAAAGACGGCGTTTTTGTACTGAACTTTGACTCACAGGGTAACACCAGCGATTCGGACAGAACACTTATGCTGAAAACAAAACCCGCGGAGACGCTGACTTGGTCGCACCCCGAAGAGATTGATCTTGAACGTCCCGCATCAGATAGACTTTTCTGCCTACGCGCAATTCCAACTGCTTCAGCCTCTACTCCTGGAGATATCGGACCTAAATCAATGGAACAAGAGGCAGACAGGATGGGGTCAGCATCTGTAGAGCAAACTAATACTGGAGGATGGGGAACCACAGGAGCAGCTGCCTTCGGCACTTATCCCGAAGCTCTCCTTATCCCGAAGCTCCGACACTTCCCCCTGAAGATGTGGCAAAAAGATACCCATAGTGGGCAACGCGCGGCACCAGCTGGGGCGGACCTCTTCTTCTATATCGATATCCGTACGAACCTGCAGAGTAAGAGCAAGAGGAGTCAGAAGGCATAATTTACGACTTGGAGAAGCAGAGCTACCTGAACCTACCGAAGAAGCACCACCACCGGAACAAGAACCTCAATCACCGGCGACGAGTACCTCTGTCATCACATTTTGATGGAGGGACTCCCCGCTTCTGAATGGCCAGAAGCAGCGCCGCCTCAGGAGCTCCTGCCAATCACCGACGACTCCATTCACATCACTGAGACGGACGATGTCGCCGGCATCCCCGAGGCAGTCTTGAAACTAGCAACCACCCAAGCCTTTGCTGCCAGCATACG